GCCTGTCCAAGATAGGCAAATCGCACGTTTTTTTAATTACCTTACAACCATCGCAAGGCAAAAGTCTTGCGATGGTTGTAAGGTGTGTGCCCAGCCTAAAGCTCAGTTGACACACAGGCTCTCCATTAAGCTGAATGGAAGCCACATATGTACTTCTGTAAAGATTTCTGAAAATTTCAGGCTGAAGCTTTGAAACTCTGGACAGGTCACACAGCGAAGATCTCAGATTCTCAGATATGCAGGGTTATAGGTAAGTATGGCCTATTACGAAGGTACTGAGAGTACTATGGATAGATCACTCATTTTATAGTCTAAATATACTCATCAGAAGATTTTTTTACACTTACCACTAATATCTTGTTTTGTCTGAATGATATAACATGATTATAAACTTTAATATGCAGCTCTTTCAGTAAACTAAATTTACTATATAAGAACATAGCCTCATTTTTTCCTTCAATAGTAAATGGTTCCATATAGTCCGGCAGAGAAGAAGAGGTCCTTGTCAGCATGTAAGTACTCTTGCCCTGGAAGTGATGATTTAGGCCATCAAAGGTGTAATAATGTGGATCACCTCCGATGGTGCATTTAGAATAACCTGGAATGGATACCAGTAGTTAGACAATGAGGTCCAAAATACATCTTCCTAGAAGAATACATTCTAATTTCACCAATTAATTTATTTTACAAGGCGAAGTGAACTAATACAAACAGTAACTGTTAGCATTTGGTACTGACAATTACAGTTTATCTTAGACAAGAGGAGCACTTTGGAATAATGTCAAACTATAATTACAGCAATGAAGCATAAAAACATGCTGAAATTGCACTGAAGCAGTCACACACTGAATGCATTGGATTATGAAAATACTATTTGTATTTGCCAAACACATGATGAGTATTTATTCTTTTTAATAGCATTTAAAAACATAGACTACCTTTGGCACTATGTTTCATGTAATACACATATTTAGGCGTTAACATGAAGAATGATCACATACCCTCCCCCAAAAAAAACCACACTGCCCCCTTTACCTGAATTTTTGAGTCTATTTTCTTGGGGAATCCTGTTATATTTTTAATGAAGCATGGCTGTGCATACTGGGTCATCTATTCACAAGGATTGCTAAATCAATATATAACAAGTCCCTTCTGCCACTGGGGCAAAGGGACACAGCAGAGCAGGCAGGTAACAGGGTGTTAATGTTACTGTGGTTGTTACCTATTAATTATTTCTCTAACATGCACTGATATAGAACACACCAGGTAGATGATGATATTACACACAACTGGATGTCAGTTGATAACTCTTGTGCTGCAACACACTCACCTGTTGGTTTGCAGTTGTATTTGCCATTCTTGTTCACACTGCAGATTCCATGAGGACAGCTAAATGATTTACATTTGATTTCATTGCCCTTCTTACATTCACATGTATGCGTGCAGTGACGTGTGATCCAACTTTTATCAATCTAAAAAGGCAAATCTATAGTTTTACATAACATTCCAAAATAATCCACCTCTATAGGTTACTGTTACTGTTACTTAAACAATAAAAGTTACTTTATGTAAAAAGCTATTAATAATGTTCCCAGATACATTTCAGATTTCAAATGCCTTTCATTTGTACCCTATACTGTCATTAATTCAGTATTAAAGTGTATCCAAACCCAAAAGTAAAAATTTACTATATTGCAGTTTACCAATACCACCAGTGGTGGTTGCACCTGTGTGGTGGCTGAATCTTTAATTCTTTAGGTTTTTTTACCTTTATTTTCCCCTGGTGATCCAGAAAAGAAGAATCGTACGATTTTCGCCGGGTTAGTGGCGTTCTCGGGAGACAGTGGTGTTCTCGGGAGACAAATGCAGCACGGGCCGTTGTGCGCAAGCGCACACTGCCCGTACGGCATTGGAATTATCGGAAGCCCTCCCCTCAACGGGGCGGGCTTGCGATGATCGCAAGTACGATCTGCCTGACCAAGATGGGCAGATCGTAAGAGCTTTTAATTACTTTACAAACATTGCACGATGAAAGTCGTGCGATGGTTGTAAAGTGTATGGCCAGCTTAAAACATTCTTCAGCTGTGTGCCTGCATACTGTATAGTGTATAACATTGACATCACCTTTATTTTAACACATTCCTAACACCCTAGATTATTAGGCAAGAAAATATTTAAACCTCTATAAATCTTGCAAATTAAATGTTCTATATATACGTGCTGTCACTAAAACCACCAAATGAATGTTATGTTCTAATGATGCAATGGCTTCAGTAGATGAGCTACTGACGGTACATGGTAACTTAGAGGGTTTATATTTGGCCCTTATTTACTTACTCTGTTTGGGCCTGACTCTGGGCTCTTAGAGTCAGGGTGAGACGTCACTTAAGGTCTGTAAATAGTCATGTCAGCAACCTGACATCGTTCTGACAACACACAGTTATCAGTATAAAGTTAGTTTGTTGTCTAGCAGAAACTGACTCTCATAGCCAAAAGCAAGGTATAGACAGAGTAAATAAACCTACAGCAGATACACACATTTTTATAGGTAAACCTGGACAGCACAATGATTTTACAATAAATATTCAGATCCTTGTATAAGCCCAAGCATGACTATTTTTCTTTATATCAAACCTATCAGTGATTTGAAGGTTTAAAAAGTTTTAAAATTAAAGTCCAGTCAAAGAGGGGACATCACAAGATGCCTATATTTAACTTTGTCAACCTGAAAACCTTCTTCTATATGCCTAAAGAGACCCTAGGTACACTCTGACTTGAGAAAAATTAGCTTCCCTAGATGCTAAGCCCCACCCACCATTCTACTATTCAGTCAGATAATCTGTAATTGGCTTGTGCTTAATAGATGGGCGGGATTTAGATGTCCAACATTAGAGAAGTTGCAACCATAGTGGAAAAAATGGGCCTAAGGCTCCCTAAATGAACAAAGGTGAGCATAACTTTAATAAAGCAGACACTTTGTGATCACCTAAGCCAGATTTTGTATTTTAAAAATACAATGAATGCTTGATCTACTTTATTATTATTATTATTACATATTAATATAGCGCCAACAGTTTGCGCAGCGCTTTACAACGTAAGGAAGATATTACAATTACAATACAATTCAAGACAAGATGGTAAGGAGGGCCCTGCCCCTGAGGGCTTACAATCTAAAAGAGGAGGGGGAAATGATACATGAGGAGGTAGCTGTGAGGGGATGAATTATTTGAGAATGTGATGGTTCAGTGGTTAGGTTGAGGTGGGATAGGGATTTACTTTAGTAAAGTGGATCTAAATGACTGTGGTTTTAAACAGTGGATGACAGTTTTTTTAACATTTTTTAAAATATAACTAACGTATTTGCCGGTGTATAAGGCGACTGGGTGTATAAGACGACCCCCTAATTTTCCACTTAAAACATAGGTTTTGGGCAATACTCGTCATATAAGACTACCCCACTTCCGAGGCAACACCATTTAAAAACATCATGGATGGATGTGCGGTAATACTGTATGTACGGTAGCTTCAGCTACATACAATATACCGTGCTGAGTCGATCACGGCGAGCAATGTATTCTATTAATGAATACAAAGCTTGCTTGGGTTGGCAGAGGTTGTGTACATCGCTTGCCGTGATTGGCTCAGCGCAGTATACTGTATGTAGCCGAAGCTACCGTACATACAGTATTACCGCACATCCAGCGAGCTGACAGATTAGGGATGTTCGTTTTGGGCCAGCTTGGCCCAAATTAACTAAAGGTATACATTGTATACCCAGCGTATAAGACGACCCCCCGATTTTCGGGGGATGTTTTTAAGTATAAAAAGTAGTCTTATACGCCAGGAAATACAGTATGTAAATTCTATAAATGCTTGCAGCTCCTTCTTTATTATTGTCTACTATTATGACCAATATTTTTAAGGTACAGTTAAAACAAGTGTAATCAACATAAAATATGTCTTGCATGCAAAAATAAATGTGTTCATGACTTTTATCACTTACCTGATAATAGTTATCATTGGAATCTCTGCAACCACATGAACTGAGTGGAACACATTGGTCACCACTAAGTACATATCCATTATCGCAGACACAACCTTCCATGCATGCAGATGGCTTATTACACACATCGGGAGCATAGATATTATTACAGGTATGTGGGCAGAGAGATGCGCAGTCTGTGTAGTAGCTGTGTTTGGGACATGACAGGGCTGCAATAGAAAATACATACATTTTTAAAATGTATACATTAAGCCAAAAGCACACTCAGAACAACATAATTTCATGCTACTTTTTTTGTTTAACCGTGCAATTACAGTACTGAGATCCCAAGTTAGATATTACAAGAAAAAATAACCCTGCAGCATACTTGTTACCTTCAAAGAAACTGAGGTACATTAACTACATGTTGCTGTGCAGGGGCTTACAGAAGGCTGACATCAAGGCCAGTTCTGTTATTTATGCTAATTCTATACAGAATACTTTAAAGTGACATTAAACCCTCAGATTTTTTAACATAAACCAATACTGTAATGTGTGTCTTACTGTAATCCATGGTAGTTTCCCTTCTCTTTGCTGATCTTACTTTTAAACCCTCATGTCTTCTCATACTTTGGGAGAACTTCCCTTTGCAGCTGAGTACCTCTTCCTGTAGTGCTGGCTCAGGTTACAAACCAATACACAGACACCATGTATCCATTCTTGAGACAAGGCAGTCTGCTGCAAAATAGAAGTTCTGCCCAACATGAGAACAGATACAGATTTAAAAGGAAGAACAGCAAAGAGAAGGGAAACTACCATGGATTACAGTAACACACACATTACAGTATTGTTTTATGTTAACAAATCTGAGGGTTTAATGTCACTTTAATGTGTTTATGATGAATACACAGTTGGATCAAACAGCATTTTGTATCAGCCTGGAGATTGGTTTTAGCATATTGTATGTGTTATGGCTATAGTTTACTATAAGACGTTTATGGTATTTTTCGCCATTCTTTCATCCTATATACTGACTACAGTACTTACGACAGAATAATGGACTTCTCCATATAATCTTTACTCCTTGTGTTCTGCAGGCATCTGCATAGGCTTGGAATATAGCACACATTGTGGACATCATGCCATTATATCTGCACATGTCATACATGCAAGACTGAATAAACAGCTGTGGATCAACTAGTTGATGACAAGGTCTGTAGGTGTCTGACAGAAGTCCACTGCACTGACTTTCTATAGATGGCCTCTGGGCTGCAGTACATGGTGGGCTGAGATCCACTCTGTCATCATCCAAGCACCTGCAGAAGAAGGGTATTGAAAATGATTTAAGAATTGACAAGTCTTCCCAAAATAGTAAATCCATAAGTTTAAATACATTTAAGAGATATAATGAGGCTGTTTATATCTTATCTAACTCGGTACACGTCAGAAACAGCTATACCCAGTTGTGTATTTTGGTTTTGTGCTGCCCTAGGCAAGACTAAACTCGGGCACCCCCCTCAATCTAAATTTGCCCCACCCCATCCTGTTTAGGACATTTTGCACAACCTGTCAGTCACTGGATACAGCGCACACGGGGTCTCAGCAGAGCTGTGCGTGGTCTCAGATGGGCTTCACGAGCTCTCAGGTGGGCTGTGCAGGGTTTATGGTGGGCTGTGCAGGGTCTCGGGAGGACTGTGCAGAGTCCCTTTCCCTGCATACATGGGCTGCTCCTCTTACCTGCAGCTCGAAGTGCCATCAGTACCAACAGGATACTTTGCAGTTCCCAGCCCGCTTCTAGCACATCCCACCATCAGATCACATGCTATGACCAGCCCCAAGCCACCCGCTGCTTCTCCTCCACCTCCTGTACAAAGCCAGCTGGACCACATCTCACTGGGCCCTCCCCTCCACCAGGCAGCTCTCTAATGGCCTTGCGGCCGCCAAGTGTGCCTCATAAGGCGGCCGCCACTGCCTGATTCTGTGCCGTTCAGCCTTGGCCCATTGGGCAAGTGCCCAGTATGCCCAAAGGCAAGTCCGGCCCTGTCTGCCTCATTGGTTTGGGGCAGCGTTTTCTGCCGCCCCCTTGCAAAGTGCCGCCCTAGGCAAATGCCTAGTTTGCCTTGTGGTAGATACACCCCTGGCTATACCTGAAAAGGTAGTTAGAAGTCAATTTCATATTTTAGCTGTTTTGTTATAATTATATCATTGTTGGTGCGGTGTTTCTCTATAATCAGTTCCATTCCAGTTTTCAAATGTGGCCCTTCTTTAGTTTATCATTGGTGGTCAGAAATGTGAGGTTCCTCTAATTAATCCCTTATTTAGCCTGCTACACTGCAGCATTGGAATTTTTCTCAGCGTCCTCACGTCTATATACCGTGTATAGAATATAAAGATTCATGGGACCTTAAACTGCTGCAGCGGAGGGGGAGAGAGGTCCCAGGGACCAGTCTAAGAGTGAGCAGGCTCCTAGTATCAGGTGAGGAGCCCCACTGCAAGGGTTAAGAACAATTCTGCCCAGAGTTCTACTTTAAAGATACTGCCCAAGTACCTACAAGTAGCTGCTTGAATCTTTAATTCATTTTGGGTCTTTGTGAAGTCTTTGCATTCTTAGCCCAAGTGGTACACACAGAGTTGATTTATGGTCAAGTAGACACGCCCTGCCCCTTCCTGGTGTTAAGCCCTGACCCTGTCATTTAATTCTTGAATGTCTCAGCCTCAGTGGCCAAGAGGGACTCTGACATTTGAGAGCTGAATAATAAGGGGAGGAGGCAGTTAGAAAACCATGAAAAGCTTTGAATCCATTTGGCAACTTTAGGACACTTTTTACAGGATATCTGAGGATTTGTGGCAATGGAGACAGAGTAGACTCGCGGCCTTAAAGAAGGTCCACTGAAAATAAAGTATGTGGTTGCAAATATACCATAAAGCAGTAAGCAGTTGATTTAACAGGTAATGTCAGATATGGTGTAAAACAGAGGCCTAGTGAGGAAGAACAAACATATAGTGCTGTGGCAGTGAAATGACTGAGAGATAAAGGCAACTATTTAGAGATGTCCAACATAGTCTCTAGGGTCTATTCACTCAGCTGCCGTTCGATCCAACATCTGGATCGGCTGAGCCAAACCTCCGGCAGGCTACTCATTGCTGTTCGCTCTATTCTTAAAGATGCCAAACAGCAGTGAGTGAATAGCTCAGTGGCATTCGGCTCGGCTGTTCTGCTCGGTCCCTCAGAGGTACCGAGCAGAACAGAAAAAGAGTGAAAAAAGTTTTTAAAAAGTAAATAGAAAACGATAGCAGTGACAGCTAGTTCCGCGCAATAGTTTCCTATTGTCCGGCGGCTCTGCTGATGTCAAAAAAAAGAAAAAAAACTCTCCCAGGCGCTCTGGGAGCCTCCCGCTCCCAGCAGCCAAGGAGAGAAACACTGCTGTGTCTTTTTTTTCTTTATTCTGACACGAGCGATGTCAGAATAGAAAAAAAAAAAATCAATTCCCATTGAAAAGCATTGGGACATTACTATTGGCTATTTCAATTTGCAATAGCCAATAGTAAACTAGCATTGTACCCGCCCTCTGCTGCTGTTCCCCATCAGGTCCATCAGCAGAGGGTGGGTACAATGCTAGTTTACTATTGGCTATTGCAAATTGAAATAGCCAATAGTAATGTACCAATGCTTTTCAATGGGAAAATGTCTTTTTTTTTTTTCTATTCTGACATCGCTCGTGTCAGAATAAAGAAAAAAAAAACACAGCAGTGTTTCTCTCCTTGGCGGCCGGGAGCAGGAGACTCCCGGGGCGCCAGGGAGAGTTAGCTGTTTGGAGATCAGTGTCCCTGGTTAGCAGGTAACCAGGGACGCTGATCTCTCTGAAAGTGGCCGGAGCCAGCCGTAAGATCACGGCTGGCTCCGCCCAGCTGTCAGAAGCAGGCTGTCGGCCGGCCACTGGCCGGCCGCTCAGCCAGCTTCCGCTTTCAGCACGGCTCAGCCGAGCCGATTAGGGTTGCCACCCGTCCGGGTTTCACCAGGGCAGTACGGGTTTGCAATCATGTGCCCGGGTCTGTGCCCACCTCTCGCCCGGGCATATCATTCAAAACGGTACAATGCCGCATACTAGCATATCTTGCGGTGGACGCCGGGTGGCGCTGTTTCCTGTCCCTCGACTCTCCCTCTCCTATTTCTCTCCTACGTGGCTGTCGTGGGAGGAAGTGACATCAGGGAGAGAGGGGAGCCGTGAGGGACGAATCTTTGTCCGGCAGCCAGCCAGCCAGCTAGCAAGCAGGGGTTGTGGAGAGCAGTGATTTTGTCACACAACCCCTGCTTGCTGGCGGCTTAGGAGGGTGAACCTGCGCTGGTAGAAGGTGGACCTGTGACTGGAGGATGACCTGCACGCATCATCAGGGTGTTGGCTTCAAGTACCAGGAAGGGACAACCAGCTCCTGATGACATAAGTAAATAGCAGCATGGGACCTGGCATGTGGCTGTGGAGCAGTAGATTACAACAGAACAGTAAGTATATTTATTGTGGATAACTCCAGTGAAAAAAGTAAGAGGGTATCTAGGAAAAAAAACACACAGAGGGGTGAAGTTATTACATTTTGATCAAATGCAATATTAATTGGAAAGGGAGAGATCAGTATTGTCCATTAAACATGCCCCCAAAAAAATGTTTTATGGGGGCATCTTTTATGTGCAATAGTACACATCAAGGATACAGGCAGGGGAAAAAACCTGACACAATTTCTTTATAGGTGACACAATAGGAAATGAAGGTCGGGGACACAGATGGTATGTGTTATATTTTAATACTTACACACAAAACAAATAAAAGTTATGTCTGGTGTTCTACTTAAGGCCTTGTTTCCACCAGCCCGCACATCTACCGCAATGTCCCATGCCCGGAACACGAGGGATCGCCTATGTAAAGTCTCCCTGCGTTCTGGGGTAGGAGGGGGCGCAGCAGTGCCATTCAATCAATGGCACTGCAGACCCGCCCACAGTACGATGAGCCGCACAGTTACGTGCGGTAAAAAAAAGGCCCTGCATTCCAATGCGGTGGGATTGCAAAAAAAGTTCATGCGTGATTATTTGCGATCCCACCGAACTGGAACGCAGAACGTTGTATTACCGCACGTTCCTGTGCGGCCGATCGTACTGTGGGCGGGGGGGCATGTCTGCCGTGCCATTGACTTGAATGGCACTGCCACGCCCCCTTCTACCCCAGAACGCAAGGAAACAATATATATGCGATCCCTTGGGGGGAATTTATCAAAAATGGAACAGACAAAATCTGGAGCAGTTGCAGTTTTTTGGCGGTGGAATGTGTGACCACCCATTAGGTCAAGCATTACAACGCTTTGTGAGCTCTTCCAGGGCAGACACTTCCATAGGCATCGCAAATGGTATGTGCAGGAGAACCGATCTGCCCTGGGACAGCTCACTTCTATCCGACTTTGTAGAATGTGAGACATATTGCCGGTTACAGATTTCATCGCCAAAAAAAACTGGGTGGGATTATGTTAAAATGTGTGACCATGTGACCGGGCACACATTCCAACCAATCACAAACACTGGGTTTTGGAATCCTGTGCTCGGCTGTGACCCAGAATCACACCCGGGCACATTATTAACACCGGACTTGTGGCTCCTTGCTGGTGCCGCCACTGTCACTTGTCGAGTCCCTCCCTCTGTTTTTCTCCTTGGGTCCCCTTCATCAGGCTCAGAAATAGCATTACATAAAAGGGCCACAACTTTTATATGGACATAATAGAATGTAATTTCTGAGCCTGATGAAGGGGACCCTGCCCAGCCCAGAAAGCGCTTGTCGTTTGAATGACAACTACCAATAAAATGGATTTGCAGTAACATGGGATCTTGGTGCTGGTGACATCTGTTTTGGAGTTCTGTTGTGAGCCGCGCCATCCGCAGTCATTACGAGCACCCGTTACTTTTTGTATATCTGGTAAGAAGTGCGGCAAGGTATATGGGTACTGCTGCGGCACACTGGCAAGTTGTGATTAACTAAAATGTCATTTATTTACAAAATACATGCATAGTGTATACTTTACAAATAAATTGCCGCAAAGCGCTATAGTGTTCGGGTTTGGCTTGAAGAAAAGGTGGCAACCCTAGAGCCGATGCATATGCGTTCGGCTCGACTGAGCCACTCGGCCATGTTCGGGAGCTGTACGGGCTATTGTGAATAGCCCGTACAGCACCCCTTCAGTTCTACTGAACCGAAGGGGTCCTGGGGCCGAAGCTAGCGGAAGGATCGGCCGAAGCTACAGCCAGATCCTTTGGCAGCTTCGTGAATAGACCCCACTGTCTTATAAACTTCGCTTCAGAGATTTCATATTATTGGTGGAGCTAAAGTGAACAACAGTTTCATGACTTTTAAAGTTGTGACAGAGCATCAGCCAACAATGAAAGCTTGGAGCTTGGAGCACGAAAGCGTGGTAGCATTTATTGACCAGCTCAATAGACTGACAATGTAAGCTTTCAAAGCATTCTTGTTTTCTTATCAGGTATTATACCAGCTAAAGAAACCTAACATGTTTTGGAAATGTACATTTGTTAAGCCACACAATGCTATAATTTTCACTCTAGACTTTCTAATGATTTTGAAGAAATATATAATCGAACAAGTATTTAAACAAAATAATCAAAAATTCAGTAGTCAGTTACTTTTTATCGCTGTCTTCCTCAGACTTCCAGCTGTTTCCAAATTCCGTTACACTAGAAGCCTGCAGTGAGTTTGACATGAGGAACTCATCATCCTTTCTGCCGTTGAAATTGCCGCACATACCGCACACCTATTTCAAATAAAACATTCAATTCTTAGTACTAGTATATCTTTACTTAAAAAATAAAAAAACCTTCATAACATTACATGAATACTTAGGGGGTTATTCACGAAGGAGCTGAAGGATCCAGCCATAGCTTCAGCTGATCCTTCTTTTCTCTTAGGCCACAGGAGCCCTTCGGTTCAGTCGAACCAAAGGGCTGCTGTACGGCTATATTCCCTATAGCCCGTACCGCAGACGAAGTGATACCCGAAGCAGGCCAACTGAGCCGAAGTGACACCCGGAGCAGGGCGAACAGCCTGCCGAAGGCCAGCCGTAAGCCCCACAAATGACAGCTGGGTGGATCCAGTCGTGATCTCATGTATGGCTCCGCCCAGTTGTAATGACAGATCAGCATCCCCAAAGGACCTGCGGCTGATATGTCATTAAACAATAACAACTGGGCGGAGTCCGCCCAGTTGTTATTCAAAGCATGTTCGGCTGACCGAAGACAGCCAAAGGCAGGCGATATAAGGCTGATTTTAGCCAATGTATGGCTGAAATCAGCAATACAAGGCTGAAGTGAATAGCCGAACAGCGTTCGGGTCACTTCACTTCGGCTAGGTAATTCATTTGGCTGTCTTCGGCAGCTTTGTGAATAACCCCCTAAATGACAAATCCAAAGCTGACTTTTGTTTTTGTAAAACCAGGGATCTATCATTAGGTGGCAGTAGCATGACCACTGCTAAACGACAGATTTCAGATTTATAGTTATGACAATATTTGATCAGTGATGCCACCCAGGATCTCCGGTGGCTTGTTTACATACAGAAGCTGGCTGGGTATCTGTAATTTGCATCAGGAATAGTGGCAGGGCAGCAATTTCTATCAGAGGGTCAACATTGTCAGGTAGCGTTGACATCACTGGAGGGCATGATTGATGTTGGATTTAAATCATGGGATGCTTTTTTTTATTTTCAGTAAAATACTTTTTTAATGGTGTCGTTATTTTCATTACTTTCTACATATTTTTGTCAATGAGTACCCCGTATTCATTCTCTTACAGGGGGCCAGATATCTAGGGACCCCTAGTTCTAAAGGGGACTTCCAGATTCTGATAATCCCCCCCATGATCCCCCACATCCCTTTCGAGGGACATCATTTGTGGATGAGACCCTTGTCCTTTAAGGTGCCTTGCAAGCGTGGGGGGGTGCTTGAGAAAGTACCCACTTGAAGGCATGTGGCCTCTTATGGTTCGGTGGGGAAGGTGCACATAATCTAAAGGGAAAACAATACACTCCACACACTGACCTTTTCATAGTATGACTCAGGGAGGACAATTTCCAAGTGATGATTACCATCGAACTTCACTATCATTCCAAAGTCAGTGATCACCACAGTGTACAGACCAACAGTGGCAATAGAAACCTCTGCCAAATGTCCAGTCCATGGTGTATGGATGAGAGTATCACCCACCTGTTTATAAACAATAAAATAAATGTCATTTTAGGTTTTTTTTAAATAAATACTGCAGGTACACTTTGTAAGAGTCTTGTACTGGACTTCTTACATAATGTAGTATTATGCTAGAAGCAATATTTGTAAACTATATATATACAGTACAAATGCACACAGAGAATGCAAAATAATTTGTGGAACAGCATAGGGCCGGACTGGCCATAGGGCAAACCGGGCACTTGCCCGGTCGGCCGGGCCAGGCCGAACACAATCAATCTGATTGTGTTTGGGCCGGTCCGCTGTGCCTGATGGCCAGCTCTTAGCAGAGCCGGCACTACTACACAGGAGACACTAGAGGGAGCTGGTGGGGGAGGCCAAAAAAACACTTCCTCACCCAGCTCTCTCTAGTCTCTACTCTGTGCTCTCTCCGGAGCTTGCTGGTGATGTTCCTGTCCCCTGTCCCGGCCGTTATATTTACATATGAATGGGCCACGGTGATTTGCATATCAATAAGCCACGGCCCATTCATATGTAAATATCGCGGCTAATTCATATGCAAACCAATGCCGACGCCCCCTCCCCCCCCCACCATCCTGCTAAGGAAGAAAAAAAGAAAAAAACTGCCTGAAGACTGCAAAAACAAGGTAAGTTTAAGCATGTGTATGGTGCATACTTTTGTTACATTGGCGGCCATTGTGAACACTTTCGTTACATTGGCGGTCAGTGCGAATAGTTTCGATACATTGGTAGCAGGCAGGGCTGGACTGGCCATCGATCACGCGTCATTACACGGGGCCCGGCTTCCGGATTGGCCGGCCAGACGGCTCCGGCTGGGTACCGGACGATGGCCGCGTTCTCGCTGGAGAGGCCCCGGGGATGACAGGCTGTACATACTAAGGTAAGAGGGGACTTCCTTGTTAATCGGGAAGCCGGGTGGGGACCCTTTACACTGTATTTTTTGTTACGTGTGGGGGGTGGGGGGGAGTAGAAGTGTAATAGGCTGCATTCACACCTTTATTTTAGGTGCAATTAGGGATTTCTGCATCAGGAACTTGCGTTTTTTTTGCAACAGAAATCCCCAAATTGGTGTTTACAAATGGCAGCTGTTACCTAAGGTAACGATCAGGTGACAGAAGTTGCATGTAAATGCCTGCACACCGCATGTAAAGATACATGATATGTTTACATTCAGTTAGGAATCAATCACTCTCCCTGGGCGCATCGATTGTGCATTCAGGTAGAGTGTTTTCTAACCGCATGTAATCATATCACATTCCATTACATGCGGTGTGCAGGCGTTTACATGGAGCTGCTGTCACATGATCATTAACTTGAATAGGTGGCAGCTGCCACTTGTAAACGCCAGATTAGGGATTTCTGCTGCAGTAAAACGCAAGTTTCTGATGCAGGAATCCCTAATCGCACCTAAACCTACAGATATGAATGGGGCCGTATTGTGTGTGTATTAGTGTCTGTAGTACTTAAACTGGATATAGTTACATTTTATTTTAAAGTATGAAATGTGGCAGACGGCCCCCACGAGAGAAAAAAATGTGTCGAGTGGTACCACGCGGTGCCTTCTTACAGGGCTTCCACTGGCTGCCTATCTTTCCCTCCTGAGACCCTTTGCCCGAGACTTCAGGCTGGTACCCCGAAGCAGAGCGGCAGCACAAAGTATGTACCAAATTCATATGCTATTATTCTGCATTGCTGTATAATGTTTTGCAGGGATTTTTAGTCCTCTATAGCTGATGGTATTATTCTGCATTAGAGCATAAGCTCCTCTGTACAGAGACTGATGTGACTTCTCTGTACAGCACTGCGGTATATTTGTCAGAGCTTTATAAATGTATAATAATAGTGTGTGACTGTGCAGGGGACATTAGAGTGTTAGCTACTTTAGTGCAGAGAATGCCATGGGGGTTGAGGGGCCAGTGAGATCCGATTCTCTATAGCAATATGTCTGTGAAGGTTCTCATTCATCCAGGTCATTCATCCAGGTCACATGGTATATCTGTAAAAAATAAGTCAAGGCAACTGGACTTTCTGTATTTTTCTTGAAGACGTTTCACTGGACATCCGACCAGCTTTCTCAATTCAGAAATTTCTGAATTGAGAAAGCTGGTTGGATGACCAGTGAATCATCCAACCAGCTTTCTCAATTCAGAAATTTCTGAATTGAGAAAGCTGGTTGGATGACTAGTGAAATGTCTTCAAGTAAAATACAGCAAGTCCAGTTGCCTTGACTTATTTTTTACAGATATTCTCTATAGCAAGCTTCCTACATTGTAGCAAGGCTTGTGTGTCAGCTGTAGCCCTCTGCTACTTACTAGTGGCTGGCCCTGCCCCTCGATTGCGCTTCTATGTTTGACTCCGCCCCCTGTTGTGAGGGGTGGGGCCTGTTGGTGGTCACGTGATTGGGCTGCTCGGTCTAAAATGCCCGGGCCTATTTCTAGTCCCAGTCCGGCCCTGCATGTGGGACAACTTTGTTTATGAATTCATATATTAATTAAGTCTTACCAGAGTTCTCCTATCTTTCTGCAGTGTAATACGAATGCCATACACATCAATATAAACTTCTTTGAGATATGTTGCAGCTCGTTGCCCTCGGTCCTCTGTTTTCCCTTTGATGGTGAGAGGTATGATACTTCTCTTGTCACATACATCCACCAGTGTGTAAGTACAAGTACCCATGAAAGTGTGCATGACCTTATCAAATGTGTAGAAATGGGGATCTCCAGAAACATAACAAGCTGCAATTCCTGCATTTAAACATAAACACTATGTTTATAAAGCATGTCTACACTGATTTATATACCTTTATATTTTTTCCAAAACAAACACAGAAAAATCAGAAACTAAGAAGAAGAAAATGGCAATGCTCTGAAATAAGTGACTACAATCTAAGATTTATGTTGTGCTTGTAATGTTAGGGAAATGGGTTTAAAATAATATACTTTAATACAGGTCTATAGCAATAAAACTACTAGGGATGGGAAACTCTGCCTAGGTTTGAAATTCTACAATACCGGACTTAGCAGAAATACCTATTGAAATGTATAGGGGTGAATCTTGCTATTAAACCTGGCTACTTTTAAGAGAAACTACTGTCAAAAAAGGCATAGACAGCTTTGCACTGCCATGGGTGACACGTACCTTGCAAAATTGAACCATGGGGAGAAGCTTTTTTCATGTGACTTCATGAGAAACATTTTAAATACTTAAATCCTTCAAATATTATGTATATTGTGGGATGCCTTATAGTTTTATCGGGTGTTACAAAACAGTACAATTTCACAGACAGTCTCAGCCACAGAGTATACTTTCAGCATATATTTGGCTGTGGTATTGATTTTGTTTTCTTTTTCAATTAGTTTGGCTCCCAAACAGCAGCAGAACTCCACTCTTAGTCAGTTTGAAAAAAAGTTTTCTTCAGCTAGTTTTAACAGTGACACATGCTTTTAAAAAAAACAGTAATAGGCCCGTTTGGAAATTTTCTATCAAACTCTCAAAAGAATTAAGGGACCGCAAATGATACAGCAGTGTAAAATTGTCCAGCAGCAGGAAAATTTTAAATAGCAAGTTTAAGTTCAAATTTCCTAGACAAAGAGCACAGGCTAGGGCTTAATACAAGAATTATGATACTGCAGAGGAAACAGTAGTATAAAATTGGCCAGCATCAGGATAGTTTTAATCATGGATAAAAGGCCATATAGTGAGCTTGGTGCCAAATTATTCACTTTAAGGTCACTGCAAAGGACAAGGGGGCACACTTTGCGTATCTAGGAAAAGAGGTTTAACCTTTGTATACGGAAAGGATTCTTCACAGTTAGAGCTGTGAAAATGTGGAATAGACTCCCTCAGGAGCTAGCTCAGTTAATTGTTTTAAAATAAATCTGTATGTATTCCTAAATGCAGAGAAGATTACTGGATATTGAGTTCTTATAGGTATATTAAGCATCCAAGATTGTTGATCCAGGGAATATGCGATTGCCTTATGGTATCAGGAAGGAATTTTTTTCCCCTGTTGGAGCAAATTGAATTATGCCTAACGGTTTTTTTGCCTTTCCCTGGATCAACAGGGGGTAATTGTGGGCATAGCGTTCTGTTCAGACTATTCTTCTTTCTTTCTTTTTTTTGACCACATCTCTATAGGTTGAACTCTATGGACTTGTGTCTTTTTTCAACCTGACTAACTATGTAACCATGTAATAGCTCGCCAAGGTGCTAAAATACTGTTTTTACCTAATTTTAGTATTAGGAAGAAACTTTTTTCTTTGTAAAACAAATAAGAAAAGTGTGCCTCCCTCTCAAATCTAACTAGCCCTGAACATCAGGCGTGCAGACAGGTATTCCCATAGCAAAAGCCCCCCTGCTATGTAATGCCAGCCCTTTAGCATGGGGGGGAGTGCTTTGAGAGGGATTTCCCCCAAAAACCGAGGTCCCCTCCCAAACCAGTATTGTAGAGTAATCGTACTTTTATACAGCTTGACAAAACAACGTTCCTGATTATGAATTTAGATCTTAATGGTTTGTCCTGAAAAATTGCACTGTTAGTGTGACTAAATGAATATATTATTTGCTAAACAAATGAGATAATATAATACAAACCAGAGGAATGACAGCCCAGCACTCCCTCATCCACCCTGCATTGTTCTCGTGATCCACATTGCCATTCGTTACATGTGATGACATTATTATTATTGCATATACAGCGCTGAGTGCAGTTTTCATAGGTGAACCAACTTTCTCCAAGCTGGAAGCAGATAGTTAGCAAGCTGTCAATTTAAGGTCTTTTTTTTCAGGCAAAACTACATGTTAAACATATATTCTAGATAATTTAATAATAAATTATAAAAATGGCCCCCAGAAAACATCTCCATTTTCTATTCTCTGTAATCTTTTTATTTTTACTTTTCTACAATATAAAACAACAGTGATAATTTGCAGGACTAAGTATTATTAACAAGAAATCACATGACAGTAAATGAAGATCTCAGAGAGGTATACTGTTAAAACCTATACTGTTTGCAGGTTATAAAAATGAAATCTACAGAAATAGGGGCAAAACTCCAGACATACGCAGATGAAATACATGCAACATATGAAAGCTGTTTGACCAGCCTTGTTTGGCAGGGAAGTGGACCTGATTTTTTTTCTGCTGCAGTTTAATTTCCACTAAAAGAAAGCAAGAGCCCCCTCCCCCACACTTGGACTGAACAGTGAAAGGAGAAGCAGCACACCCATAGGCTCATCTATCTGTCAAATAGCTCTCTACTTCTATCAGTATGCTCCATTAACTGCAACACACCTAACTGGCTCCCTATGCTGATTCACCTCTCTCAGCTCTGCTGTAGAGGGAATGCAAGAGAATGATACCAAGTAAAATTCACATTTTACACTGCCGGCCTGTTTTGCAAAAATGCATTTAATGATTTATTAATGATAACAGAGCTTCATTAATTTGTGTCTGTTAAATCTGTCTTGAGTTTAGCTTTAAGGGCCAGTGCACACCTAGGCGACACCTCACTGCGCAGCAATCGTGCACGATGCAGCACGGTCACGGAGTCACCCAGCACAGACGGTCGCAAAAAAAAGGTACATGTACTTTTTTTGCGATACACGACGCGTGGCTGCTTCCGCCCGTCGCAACTGGGGTGCCATTCGAAATTAATGGCACCCACAGTGGGTGCCATTAATTTTGAATGGCACCCCAGTTGCGCCGGGCGGAAGCAGCCACGCGTCGTGTATCGCAAAAAAAGTACATGTACCTTTTTTCTGCCATTGCCGCGCGGATGTCACCCCATTAAAATCAATAGGGCTGCGCGGCAATCTCTGTCTGCATTGTGCAGGACAGCATGATCCTGGGATGCGTGATCCCGGATCACTCAGGCCTAATGAGTGGAAATAACAAATATGACCCTTAAACAAGCTTTTACAAATAGCTTGATCCAAGAAATGCTAAGAAAAAATAGCAAACAAACCATCTGAAGTCTCTGTACATAGGCCCCCTAAGTAGTTACAGCTACAAGAGTGTCATATACAAGATTGCAGAATATTTTACCTGGTAAGAGTTGTTATATTCATCAGTGCAGCCACATTCACTTTGAGGGACACATTTGTCTCCACTGAGGACATAGCTGTCATTACAGAAACAGCCTTCTACTGACTCAGACTCGCATGGCACTACTGCAGAAGAGTTGAAGCAAGTGGATGGACATGTGGTACCACAACTGCTATAATAGCTTCTTGCTGGACATGATATAGCTGAAAGATAGAAAAAGAATTGAGAGCCATGTATTTGTTGCAAAGAACAACACAACTTTCAAATTTAAATTTCAACTTCTACCAACACAAACGTGAAGCTGCAAACCACCGATTCCTTGTTGCTCATAACAACTTTATTAGTCCAGCAGCAATGAGAAGCTGATGTGTAAATTGACAATATCAGAATAGTGTCTGTGGTGTCAATAAGAATTATGATGAAGCAATTTTGTTTTTTGACATGGTAATTACTCTGGTTCATTCACAGCAGATCGAAGAAGTGATCTTTCACCTGTATCTGATGCCAGTAAGAGCAACCTTGCAAGTAAAACAAAAATTTAAAAAAGTGTTTCTAATTAACCCTTTATTAACTCTTAAGTAACCCTAGTTAGCCTTAATTACCTACTTTCTCCCCTTTTCTGCTTATTTATGACTTTAACACAATTTTTTTATATTTTTTTATTACTGTATTTCTTTCTACTTTCTTAGCTTTTTCCAGCCTTCAAAAAGGTGTGTTTATTTTGAAATCATGAAACACTGTGAATGCAGATGGACTTCATTCAACTGTTTGTGACTTCTGAAAGCAAATTGATTGCAACAGAGCTACATTTTGTCCAGTTTCCAGCTACTACATTATCTTTTTTTGAGAAATCTGTCAGTCACATACCTGTCTTACATAAAATACACTTATAAAAAATACTGCTAAATATATACATA